TACCAGCAAGCTTGAAGGCGGGCTTGGTCTGAAAGATCTGGACCTCCAGAACAGGTGCCTTCTAATGAAATTTGTTGACAAAATGTTTTCGGGTGATCCGGCTCCTTGGAAAGATTGGATCATGAGAACTCATACCCCCCTCGATGAGCAGTCCGCGGCTACCTCTTTCCTTTGGAACATTGTCCATGCTGAGCTTGATACCTACCGCTCAATCACCAAGGTTGAAGTCCATAATGGTGTTTCTGCGTCCTTTTTGGAAAGATCATTGGCTACCCAGTGGCCCCATCTTCCTCTCTCACCCTGCTCTTTTCTCCCACACCACTAGGCCTAATGTCTCGGTGTTCAGAGCAGGTTTGAATTGCATTTGCATCCCCGTCTAACCCGCGCTGCCCAGCAAGAGCGTGCGGACCTTCTTCTTGCCTTGCAGGATGTTCACCTCGACGACTCCAGCGACGTCCGTCTGATGCGCCTCACCGGAAAAAAAATTCAGTACCAAAGATGCTTACTCTGCGCTCGCCCCTTCCTCAGGACAAGATGACCAGATCAGTAAGCAAATTTGGGGCTCGGCGGTCCCGAACAAGGTCAAAATTTTTACCTGCTTATATTTCAAAGACAGGCTGAGTTCGTGCGCCAATCTCCTCCAAAAACATGTGCTAGATGATGACATCTGCAGGCGCTGTAACAACAGCGTGGAAGACAGGCAGCATATCTTCTTCGGATGCCCATCTGTTGCTGCGCTCTGGCCGGTGCTGGGACTGACTGCAGTGAGCACATCCTCTGATGACGAACTCTGGACTCTCCGCCTGCCCCGTAGGCTCGATGCTAAGCTATGGGCTTCAGTATTGCTCACCCTCTTGTGGCGCCTCTGGGATGCACGAAATGGAGAAGTATTCCGTGGTGAACAGACGTCGACAGTGAAGATACTCACACGCGTTACTGAGGATCTCGCTGTGTGGAAAAAGCGTCTTGTCTTAAAGAAAGCCGGCACTGCTGATAGCATCCATGCCTGGCAAATGTATCTGAGTGAATGTAAACTCTCTGCCCATGTACCCCCTATGCTCTCTGTAACAACTGTCTAAACTTTGATATTTAATAAAATGTCCAGGTGGGGATCCTCTCCCCCCGTAGTTAACTTTAAAAAAAAAATATTACGACACTGTTTACGAATTTAGCCAAACATTAAAAAAACATTTTTAATTGGTTTCACAATTATTTTTTGTACTTGCTAATAATTACTGAAATGTAGAAAAGTTTTCTATATTTTATAATACTATTTTCGGCCTCTTCCAACCTTTTTCACCCCTAATCCGACTGGAACTGAGGCTACGACGGCGAGGAAGCACAGGAGCCACAACCACATATAGGAGTAGTATATCAGAAATACTATTTAGCAGGCGCCTGTTATTATGTTTATCTATCAGTCAACTTCTTGACGCATCGGATTTGCGATCAGTGGCAGGGGTTGATTGTACACTGGTGGGATCAGGCTGCTTTGTCTGTACCCGTTATAATCCAAGCTTCAGTCGCCTGAAGCGGAGACACTCCCGTAGTATATATCAACAGATTGGATAGAGCCACGGAGGGTTTTTTTTTTTTTGAGGGGAGCCACGGAGGTTCAAACACATAGCCTCCGGATGGAGCCAATCCAACATTACAACACTGATTACTTACTGCTATGCATCGTAGTGATGTTGAAGGTCATTCTAGGGTGCCTGTAACCTACATGAGATTGAAACAGTTGTTTGCACGAAAGGGTATGGAGTATGTTGTCGACATTTTGTCCAATCTTGTCAAACTTGTCAGCAAGCAAAACTTGATGGGTCCAAATTGCCTAGTCTTCTTCAGCCTTTACCAGTGTGTCTGCTTGGAAAGTTATTTCTTAAACCCCCCACCGCCACCACGTCATCCTTTCTCCACTACTAGTGTGACCAAAGCAGTTCTTAATAATGTTTATAAGTTACACTCCCTTGAACCAGTTGTACGACAGGGACCTAATTTTTGCTAGTTAGCTATGGACAAAGCTCTTTAAATTGCCAGATGTACAATTAACCATGGGTTCCGGTTATCACCATCAGTCGGATGGTCAGACTAAGAAGGTGAATCATATCAATAATATATGGAGACGCACATGTCTTTGTTAATGCTTGCCCTTCCAAATGGATTCACTGGTTTTTGTTAGATGAGTTTTGGTACAACTCCGGCCACTATTCAGCTATGGTTGCTCACATTTTCGAGCATTATATGGTTTCCTTCCCACATTTTGGAAGTTCTGCAACTGACTGAATCTCTGTAGTTGAACTCTTTGCTTGGATTCAGGACCGTCAAATTATGCCTGCTCTCATTAAGCAACATCTTGAGTGTATCAAGCTGCGGATGAAGAATAATTGAGGTATCGTGGCTGTTAAATAGTAGAGCGAGTTTAGACAGAAGGCATTGAATGTATGAACAAGTATACAATTGCTTCAATCTCAGTTCTTCGAACTATTGTTTCTCTTGCTATGCTCTTCCTTTCTTCCTTCTTCCAAATCCTATTCCTGGTACCTCGGCTGTTTGGTTTGGTCTTTTTGGCCTGTAACCGATTAGTAAAGGAATGTCTTTACTAGCTGTTTGGTTGGGCTGGTCCGTAACCATTCACAGTGCCATCTGATATGGCCTTATACAATGTCGCTCCCGCTGCTCCCCGCCGCTATCTGATTACATTAGCGTTGCAGCCCAAATCAGTGAACCAAACATCACCTTTGATTCTAACATTGAATGAATGATGAATGTGATGTGTTTCTACCCTAAAGTCTACTCTATGGAGTGTGGTCCTCCTACCCCGATATCTCGTTAGGCACTTTGTTTGCGGGGCCGCCACCGTGCCCTTTGCTGACGTCGTGTTTGCTGTCGTTTATTTATATGCTATTCATTCATGTACTTTATTCTTCACCTATGTTTTTTTTTTTTTGAACTGGGCATATTCATTACTCATTGGCTAACAAATCATTAGCAACAATTACAGAGATGTCATCAGGTATGGAGTCTGAAATGATCTCCTCACCCTCAGGACACAAATAACCCATTTTAGCAAGCACATGAGCGGCTTCATTACATGTTGTACCCACATGAACACACTCAAAACTAATGAAATTTGATCTTGAAAGGAACTTGATCTCCTCGACCAAGTGACCAACAACTGAGTCATCATACGCTGTTGAATTCATTGCTCTCACCACTTCCTGGGCGTCGGTCTCCAAGATGATATGACCAATACCCAGATCAACTGCTGTTTGCACCCTCTGCAAGCAGGCAACCAACTAGGCTTGGAAAGCATTCAACAGGTTGTTAATCTTGCCTCTTGCCGCCATTCCCACATCACCGTCTCTATCACCTATCAAGAAGCCCCAGCTGCCGGCCTTCTCAGTCAGGAGAAAAGAACCATCACAATTTAGCTTCAGCACGTCATCTGGCGGCCTCACCCACCTCTGTCTACGCTGGCCCGTCTGGACCGAGCCGCTGTTGACTTGCTGCACATTCTCTGATGCAACGCGCGATTACAGCAGCAGGCCTTCGACGCCCCTCTTCTCTGATGCTATTGCGTTCTGACCAGATAAACCAGAGAATGATCACCAACAGATCTCTCTTCGGCTCTCGCTGCTTCAGAATCCATTCCACAGCACCATAAGCATCAGGTATAGCGGCTAAAGCCTTACGTTCACTTTCCAGATTCAGCGTTCGCCATATTTGCTTTGCCAACTTGCATTTGAAAAAGATGCGTCCTCCATCCTCACTCATTCGCCCACAGACCGGGCAACTTAAATCAATCTACATCCCCCGACGGAGTAAGTTGCACCGTAGTGGTTGGCTGTTATGGGTGAGGTGCCACAAGAAATGTTTGATTTTGTTTGGGCTTTTCAATTTCCATATGTCTTTCCAAACACCTTTTCCGTCATTAGTACTACCTCCTTGTCCTCCGGCTATGCTGCAGCCTGCAGGTTCTAAGCATGTCTTGCCGGCTCACTTTATATGCACTCTTGACACTGAAAATCCCATGCTTATCAAAGTGCCAAGCTAGGGTATTAGCTCTTCACCTATGTTTTAGGTAAATTGATAATGCTACCTTACTATATAATATATTTGTGTTATTATTACAAGAAGAAATGCCTCTGCTACAAGGGATGAGAGGATGTCAGTTCCGGCTTTCATTATTTTGGTCTAAAAAAGAATATACACTATGTCGACGCATAGTAAAAATAGTGTTTTACAAAAGTCAAAACTGTCTTATAATTTGAAACAAAGCGAGTTTGCCGATACTATAGAACCTAACCACCGCAAGGGCTGCCTGCAAAATTGGCTAAACTTTGATAATCATACGGGTTCGAGCTCACACATTTTTCAAAACCGAGGATCGAACCCAATATCTAAAATAAAATGAAAAACAGAAGGGAAACCGAATCCAATATATTTGATCAAACTCTAATCACTTAATCAGGACCAAACAGCCATAGATCATCATCGTAACTCAGATGACTCAGCTGTATGAATAACAATCTTCCTTTTGATTCATGTACAAGCATTTTCTAGTAGTAGATGAGTTGCACAAGCATCTGTAGGCAGCAACACTACTGATTTGTGCCCCCAAACTTGAAATCCAAACAGAAAAATCACATACCAGGGTCAAAAATACAAGTTATATGTAACCAAGAGCATGAAAATGATCGCCAACCACAATCGAGAGGGAAAAATGGACGCACAAACAATAGTTTAATTTATTACCAAGTCAAAATTTCTTGAAAGAATACCGACATGACTCCCTGATGTACTACAAGCCACGAGTTCCATCCAATTCTTGCGACACACACACACAACAGCTACAGGCACCATACCATCCGTTCAACAACATATCTCGCCCACTTTTTAGGACAACCTATAAGGCTATAACCTTCTCACCTGACGCTACTATGCTCACCGGACCAAAACCTTTGTTTCCCGTCAGAGGGGACACATCGGAGGGGAGCTCTCTAGCTCACTAGCTGCTGGTTGCCATACATCGGGTACGCGCCATACGCTGCAGCGTACATGTTTGGGTGTGGCACAGGGGAGGCATAGCCATATCCGCCATAGAATGGTGTGCCATAGTACATGTTGTTCCTCCTGTTGCCGGAGTCACCCCTCCACTGGAAACAGAAAAGGAAATGGGTGTAAGGGGAGGAGGGAAGTAAATGATTTCACAAAAGCTACCTTTCACCATTGTGAGGAATTACAAATTACAAATGTCAAAAAATATGCAATGCTAAACAGAAAAAACACCAACTCATGCTTATGCTGAAATTTGGCTTATGCTGATTTGTTGTGAGAGGAAAACACTGTTTGTTGGCTGAAAAGTAGTTCAAGCGAACAGGGGTAATAATTATGTGCAAGAGATCAGAATGGCCAGGGAAATTCAAATAGGAAACTAAGAACCACCCCATTGCTGCTTAAAATGCGCTGCAAGATGCAACCATATTTAACCTTTTGTTTCCATTAGGATTGTAGGAACATATTGTCAGTACTTCCTTACAGCTATGGTAAGCTAGTTGCAATCAAGGTCACAATTTTCAGACAACTGGTTTTTAGTCTTAAAGGTAAAAAGAGAAATATGCAGCAGATTGATCAAGTTAGTTTGTTCGAGAGATAATAAGTGGAGAGTGGAACAACATCCAGCAAACTCCTGAGAGTTCTTATTCCTCCACCGACCCAATGAATGAAACTGATGGTGGTGAGTGCAATCACAAAGGCTAATGAACATCATGTGATGAACACAATCTTAGATGTGAAAAGGTTAGTTTTGAGGCATATCCAAAGTTAGGGTACTCAATAATTTACTGAATTGCTGTTAAGTTGGCAAAACTAACTATTGCAACGCTACAATTTAACAAAATCTGATTGGGTCAGCGAAAACTGATACTATAACAAGCAACTACAGAGGACGGGTGGATAACCCAGGTAGCTAGCAGAGATAGAGTTGGAGCTAGCGCCTTGGGTTCAAATCTCGTTGGCCACACACTCGTTAGAGTTGTGGGCAGGCCGGATGGGGAGTTCAAACCTCGGTTCCCATATTTTGAGGTAGGGGTGGGGATCGGTGTAATCTAGCTTCTGGCCCCTATAACAAGTGACTACACAAAAGAACAAATAATCCTGACCAAAGGAAAAAAATGAAAACAGAGGAATGCAATGTCAAGCATGACAAACCTGCTTATGCGATGGGCTGCGGCCCCATGAAAGGCGAACTGCCTGCTTTCCAATGAGTGATCCATTTAATCCTTGTAGTGCTTCTTCAGCATCAGTTCTAGAAGAATAGTCGCACGGCTTAAACATCACTTCAGCAAAGTTATGGACAAAAATAAATAGCAAATCATGTAAATGCTTCAGGTACATACCTGCTAACAAATTGAACAAAGCCACATTGCTTTCCTAGAGGAATTTTCACAGAGGCAAGATCACCATATTTGGCAAAGGCTTTTCTAAGTTCATCTTCACTGACATTGGGGTCAAGCCCACCAACATATACCTAAAGAAGGGTGACAACTACAGATTAAAAACTATCAACTTAAAGGTGACAAACACCACAGGAAAAGAGTACCACAAACCGTTCTATTAGAAGAATCGCCATCTGAATGACCAGGAGTCGAGGAGCCAGAATCTCCTGAGTACAGTAGTCATCAAGTTCAATGAGCAGATCAGAAAAACTAGAGATTACACGAAAGAACATGAGCAATATCATGGTACATAACACATAACATGCTCTGGGAACACTAACTTGGTTTAGATTGACTATCCATGGAATAACATATAGTTATTCAAGGAGTAACTGTAGAGGGTTTGTGCCAGTTTAGTACATGCAGTGCTAGCTCCACACTGAAAATTTTTCATGCACTAGGTTTTTTTCCTGATACTATTCATTAATTTCAACAGGCTACATATTTGGCATTCAAAAGAACAAAGTACGCATAGATAAATCGCAGAGTGGTAAATTGGAGGAAAACATGGCTCTACGGTTAAGAGGTGAACAAAATCCAGGATATCTAGCCTTGCAGGCTTGTGACACAAAACCACAGGATTCATGGTCCGAATGTATCAAGATGCATCAACTATATGATATCCACCTGAGGTAAGAAGAGGATCACACAAGTAACAACCGTATCAGCAGGCCAAGGAAGAGAATGAGCACTTAGTAGACTAGTGCTAGAGATGAGGCCACAACCATCCAATCAGATAGTGGGATTTCCCTAAGAATCGGGTTTTTTTTAAGAACACTGTAGCCATAGAAATCAGGCTCACATACCACAAGCCAATATACCAGAAGTTTTTTATAGTTACAATCATAAAGCATGTGTTTCAGTAATTCACTTTTTAATATCATCAGAACTTTAGAAAGTACTAAAAAAAACTAGTTAGGACTCAGGAGGATGAAACAGATGATTTGGCAACTTTAGTCTCCTAAGTGAAAAGGAAAAAAAGAAGCAAAGTGAATTTCAATGTGTTAGCATTGTTTTTTTTTTTTTTTTTTTTGCATGCAGTCATGAATTCAATCATCAATAAAATAAAAGCCAGATCATCAGTGTACCCAGAATGAAAGATGGTTAGACACCTCCTCTGGTCAGGTACATGCTGCTGAGTCATTCCGGGAATCTGTTTGGCCCAGACGCTTGCAGACACTAACAAAAATACATGACTGCTAGCGTTCAGCTTGCATATGCAGGATTGAATAAAGGGACTAAGCATTCTAGCCAACTGGATGGATCAGGGTAAAGAGTTGCCTTTACTTAAAAGAGAACCACTTAATAATGGTTAGAACCTCTTAATCAGAAAAGGTTGGTATGCAATATGTATAGAATTATTCAAATGATTTCTATAAAATACAGTTCAACAAATGACATGGTGACTCAAGAACTTGACTGGATTGGTGACCAGGAAGGTCAGAATCATTGCATTCCATAAAAAAAATCAAATTGAATAATACTCTCGCAAGTCGAGTTTCTAAGGCATGACAGGTACAAAAACGAATACCAATACGGGGCCATCAATCGTTGCGCTCGTGGATATGAGTACTCCCTAACGGGTGTCAGTTTCAAGTGTCACATTGTGCTCCACAGCGGTTAGCGTCCAGCAATTTCGCATGGATGCATGCACGGCTAAATGCTTCAGTTTCCTTTTAATTGCAACTCCATAGTGATCGCCATGCAAACAGTCGTTTTATCACGACCCCATCTCAAACGCCATGCAACCGCCTGTTCGGTTTCCGTCCTACGAACTAACCACGCCTTGGTATCCAAGTTACGCTCAATATTATGGGCAGGGCAGACCCAGTGCCGGAGGCTCCCACAAGAGTGGGGTCTGGGGAAGGGAAAAACCGAGGCAAGCCTTCCCCCTGCAAATCTGCGGAGAGGCTGCTTTGAATCCACGACCCGGTGACTCAATGAGACAGCTCTCACCACTGCACCAGGCCTGCCCTTCTACGCTCAATATTATGGACTTTAGCACAAAAAAAAAAAAAACTCAATGACACGTTAGAAAATGGACAGTAGTCACAAAGATCCCAGATCGAGGGGGTCAAAAACAGGGTCGAGGAATGTGGTACGGTACTTGTGAGAGGTTTTTACATGCCGGGGTCGAAAATGACCCCGCGTACCAAGGTCAAGGTCAACGTTCACAGGTCAAGGGTCGATGCCTTCAACCCTAGGGTCTAGGGAGTATCTAAACCATTTCATAACATAAAATATTTGACAATCTATGGTTGAATGAAAAGATGCTATACCATTTGAGATTGTGGAACAACAATAGAAGATGGGGATACCTGAAGATCTTCTGGGAGTCGCAGGTCCTATACGAATTGGCCTAGTAGAGCAATATACACCATTCATTTCAGACATTGCATGAGATTTGTCGTTGTCATCTCCAAACCTAACAAATCCATAGCCCCTAGAACGGCCTGTGTTTGCATCAATAATAACTTTAGCTCCTTTCACCGAGCGGTACTTGCTAGAGAAAAGCTCCAGCAGCATTTCATCAGTAACATCAGCAGCTAGATCACCAACAAATATCGAGTGATCAGAAGCTACTTCAGATCGCTTTTCACCCATGCTATATGATGCCCAGTTCAACTTAAATGCCCGGTCAGTGTTTGGCATCACATGACCAGTAAAATTCTGAAGAGCCTTTTCTGCTGATGCATGAGAAAAGAACTCAACAAATCCATACCCCTCAGACTGTCCTGTTTGCCTATTGCGGATAACTTTTATTGTAACCACCTACAAAAATGTAAGGTAGCAAAAGACAATAAGATTACTAGTTAAAAAGTTCTGGAAGCACAAACACACAAAAACAGAAAGAAGAAATAGTAAGTCGTGCCTGATTGGCAGTTAACCTCGTCTGTATCCGATAAGCATACTTTCAATTATGTTTGAAGAAAGGTTCCTGGTAGCTAATACTACTAGCTAGTACAAAAAAAAGAATAGATACAAGTCGCTTTGTCCATTTATCTCTGCTCCTGAAGAGGCATTGTATCAGTAACCCATCACATGGATCCTACAATCAGGCATCTTTTCTCTTCCTGTCAACATCAGTGAGCATACCCCGAAAAGGATAATTGGCCCAAGGCCGAAATTATTGCTTCCTTTTGCTCCTCTAAAAGTTATTCTACTGATACATGATCCACAAAAGTGAAGCAGCTAACTTGGTCCATTCAAAACGTTTATTACTTATCAAGAATCAAGACCGTTTCCTCCAAGTAAGTTATATGCATAAATCCTACAAGAGGTCGGCACGTTTGTCACCTCGCATACACCAATCCCAAGGGAATAAGATGACCCCTTCTTCTATAGAAAAAAAAAAGCTATACCAAAAAAACATTTTAAAGCTACTACACGGCTCTAAACCAAACAGGAGATACTTTAAATGACCAAACAACAAGAGCATTCCGTCCGTACGGCACTGAATGACCTCGAACTTGGCGCCTTAAGCAATTTTGCAACGTCTAAATTCTAAAAATATGGCACCTTTATTTTCACCAAGCAAAAATCAAGCGCAGTTTAAGCTTCTATATCAATCTGAGGCAAAAACACACGAATCAACGCGCGGAAATGGTACAAATCTAGCTGTATTCATGAGATCCAGTACGGAGGAGTCCGGATCGGGAGAGAAAGCAAACCTCGCCGCTGGGCCCGAAGCAGCTGTGGAGGTAGTTCTCGTCCATCCAGTACTGGAGGTCGCCGACCCAAATGGTCTTATTCTCCTCGCACCCGTTCCCGCCGGATCCGGCCGCGGGCGGGGTCGGCGTGCGGCGCCCGGCCGCAGCTTGGGGCAGCTGGGGCGGCGGCCCAGCAGTGAAGTGCTTGGCAAACTGCGGCGGCGGCGGCGGTGGCGCGGCCACCATGGGCGGCGGCGGCGGGTACGGGATGACAACCCACCGTGGCTGCGGCATGTGGTGGTGCGGGTGAGCATGCTGCGGGGGCACGTGGGGGTGGGCGTGAGGGTGGTGTGCCGCCTGGGAGTCGGTGGTGGTCGCCGCCATCTGCATCGCCGCCGCAGCCGCCGCCGCCGAGGAGGGGGGTCGTGTGGGGGTTGGGGGGCTCGCGAGGGGTGGAGAGCGGAAAAGAGATGGAGCTCGTGGTTGGGGTGAGCTGAATATATACGGGGTTAGAAACGGATCTGCACCGTCAGATCTTGGAGTTCGTTATGGTCTTGGCCGTCTGATCGCCATGGTGGGTGGCCCGCCGCAGCCGCCGCCGCCGAGGAGGGGGGTCGTGTGGGGGTTGGAGGGCTCGCGAGGGGTGGAGAGCGGAAAAGAGATGGAGCTCGTGGTTGGGGTGAGCTGAATATATACGGGGTTAGAAACGGATCTGCACCGTCAGATCTTGGAGTTCGTTATGGTCTTGGCCGTCTGATCGACAGGGTGGGTGGCTGACGCGTGGGCCGGCGACATCTGGTCTGCGATTTCGTGGTGAGTGCGTGAGGAAGAGATACCAGTTTGCTTTTTTCTGCGTGTGCTTTTGGTCTGGCTATTTATTACCACCACTGATACTAAATACAGTACTAAAATGAATTATTAGAGTTGTCTAAGTAAAATTTTAACTAAATTTATAAAAAAAATTATATTTATGCGTCCAGCTGGCGGATGGCTATGACCGGCCATAGCGTGCGTTCATGCTCGTGAAGGAGGAGGAGGATGGGTAAATTAGAGAAAACGCAGGTTAGAAAGGAGTAAGAGAGAAAAAAATATAAAGAGATCGGTTGGTTTCGAAATGGTTCGAGGTTTTGAAAGCTTTAGTTTGGTTTTGGCTAATCGATGAAACCTATAGTTTGGTTTTGGTTAATCGATGAAACCTAAGTACTAACCTTTGTCATGAGTGTTATGTGAGCAAGGTTAGTACATATCAAGTGATGGAGCATGGTGATAAAGTCCATGGAGTTAAAGATGGACGTGAGATGATGATGATCAAGCTCAACTTGAAAAAGAAAAAAGAGAAAAACAAAAACCGAGAAGACCAAAGCAAAGGTATAAGATTTTTTTTTTTGCACTCAAGATACCATATAGGGTGTGAGTGACTTAGGATAGATAGCCGTGCTATAAAGATGGAAAATCTTTTACTAAGCGGTTATCGAGTGCCACATGATTATTGCATATGCATTTAGGTTCATGCTTGCTTTGTGAGTGACTTGCGGTTATTGAGAGCTTGCTTTGCAGTTTAAGTTCATCTAGTGGAGCTCTTTAGTGTAGCAAGTGTGAGAGCTCTTAGTGAGTAGTGACTTAGCCAATTGTGTGCCTAGTGATCATAGTAACTAGAATTGTTGAATAGGTGACTTGCAACCCTTGTAGAGCTATAACAAGTTTGCATTTCGCTATTTGTCATACTAATCAAATTGCTCTAGTTGGTTGTTAGATTTTTAAAGACTATTCATCTCCTTCTAGCCATATTAGGACCTTTCAAGTTTCCAATACAAAAACATTTACAAAAATAGGATAGAAAACACATGGAGATGGAGAAAACTTAAGGTTGTTATTTATTTTGTTAACTTGCTAAACTCAATTACCTTACATGACTAAGTTTGCTTTCAAGTTGAGTATTATACTTCCAACCTATTAATTTTGTAGGACACTTGTGCTTTCCAATTAACCAAGGTTAGTGTAGTATTTACTTGTATTAAACGATTGATATTTACTCGTAGTGAAAATCCGTATTGTATGTTCTGGTTAGAGAAAGTGAGAGGTGTTTGGATTCGATTCGTATAATAATTATTATTGCACCTCTAAATAATAAATTTGGGTAGATAGTTGATTCAAATCCAAGTGCTTTGATCTGTTCTCATTTTTTTTTTACCTCATTCTGTTTTTTCTTATGAGATCGAAACCAAAACTTATAACAATGCAGTTTGTGATGAATCACTATACAGAAACTCTTAATTAGGCAGGAACATTGTATACAATTTGCTACCAAAACTGCATAATCACAACTTTAATCTTTTTGTTCTTCGTTATTTTTGTACCTTTTGTATCTCTACTATTGTCTAGTTATCAGTATTGGTTTTGTTTTGTTTTTCTTCTTTCGTGCGCTTTTTGTTAACACTCTTTTCCTATATATATAAAAAAGTATAACACGCAAAAGTTTGCATAAGCACTAGAAACACCGCTTTGTAGGGGTTGAATTGCTTAGATTGTTAATTAGAAGTGGATAAAGGCTTGATATGGAAGCACATGACGTAAATGAGTTGTATGCTACTTATTTATACCTTGTCGTTCTTTTAACCAATATAAAATAGGGGTGTATTTACTTCAATAAAGGTCCATGATTTCTGGTCCCTGCATTTGTAAAATGCACATATGTACCCAAAAAGAATAATATATCTCTATATGACTTTATTTAGTCAATACGCACGTACTCCTATGCTATAGTATTTATAGTATTGTAAGTAGTAGCATTTGACCAACCGATTTACTGATTTTCTTGTTGCCAACCAATGGTTATTGACCTCTCAAAAAACAAATGGTTAATAATAGCATGACAATATATGTAACTAGTCCAATATTGTGTAATGCCACATCGACTTTGGTGTGTACTTGTAACAGAACCGACCAATTATACGAAATTAAGTAAGAGAATCATCCACCAGAGCAGACGATTGAACAAACTTAAGCCCGTATAACCCGGTAGTCCGTGAAATCACAAAGGATTTCAAACCAACTCGTGTCCCAAATGGCGATCGTAATAAGTTTAGCGGTCACCATCACATATTACATAAAATTTCGCGATCTCAAATACATCGAGTTTCAACATAGTTATTACAAACCCGTTCAATGAAAATAGCGGAATTCATTTGTTCAAACTACACACACACACGGAGTTTAAATAGAGTGCCAAATGAATGATCATCTCCAACAAAAGCATCGATGAGACATAAGGAACGACCATGCCCATGGTCCTAAGCATCACCCATCGCAGGATAAAGGCGCTTGATACAATGGTCGTAATACATCCGCCCATCTCGCAACAAGTGGGAATAAAACCCCGAGTACGAGAAGGTACTCAAATGGACTTACCCGACATAACCGAAAAATAAATGACACCAAGGATTATGAAGGCTTTATAGTAGGGTAGTCAATTTCATTTGCGAAAAGAAGCATTTTAGCATTTCAAGAACTTTTCGAAGGCATTATTGTCAACTTAATTATTATTAACCTATCGACTAGATTTTTCATCTATACTAGAGTAAACATGTGATTAAGCAATTAATGATAACCACTGATCATTAAACAACTTCCATACTGTCATATTCACTATAACTGTCCAAGTGTTCCATAAACATTTACTACGATGAAGTCACTCAAGTCAAGTGCTCACTATCCAGAGCGATGGCGATTCGAATCAATTCCTAACCAAATGGTGATTTATTCCTTACACAAATCTCACTCACCCGCTAAAGTGAGATATTGATCACCGAGTCAACTTTCCGTATCTCGAGTTTGCCAGAACCACATGTACCGGGGCCGACCGACCGCACTTTGGTCTTATCATCCCGCCCCGTGTCCTACCACACCTGCTTCCCAAGACAAGGTCGTCATGCGGGCAATCTACTCGGTCCGAAAAATCTCCCAAATTTCATGGGTCGGAAGGTACTTTATCCGCCAAATAAATGTAAGGCATGCGTTCAACATGACTCGAGGCCCAACAACGGTCGGTCCTTAATCGACACGACGGAAACACTACACCAAAACTCGCAAGTCTCCGCCTTGGTCTCAACTTCATTTAACACTTAGTTATACCATGACTTCATAGCCATCCAAGCAGATCCGTGTAACCACCTATAGCTCGCAGTGACAGAAAATCACCCGACTTCTACCGGTCTAAGCCACCTAAGCATTGACTTCATCATGGATACCGTGGTAACAAGGATATAGTATAACAAAGGTAAACAAGGTATAATGCAAAGAACGGTTGCAAACAACTCCCCGAACGTAATGCATCAATTTAAGTAAAGTATTTAATGAAATCATTGCAAACCGGAGAAAGATGCTCCGGGCTTGCCTCTCTCGAAGGAGCTCGGGACGGTGATCGGGGCACTCCGGAAGTTCCTCAACGTCCTCCTCGCTTCGGCTTCTAGCACTTCCTCGCTGCTTTGCACTCGAGCTGCTCCTCGGCTCCTCGGTTATGACGAATGGGTTCTCGGTTTATGATCCCAGTATGATGCAATGCGTGTAAGTGCCTATGCAATAGGTGCATCGAAGGAGATGAATGCAATGGATATGTTGAAAGGCAAGGTAGTCAACATCATCCAAGAAACTATACTACAAGCACATGTCATCTACTGCATTCTCTTCTACTACTAATATGTTAAGTTAACATATCTTATGAAATGCTTCAAAGATACCCCAAAGCTTTACTAATTTCTTAATCACACTTAAAACAACACTTGCTTAAACCCTAATTAATAATAGGTTTGAATAGCAACATATATTTCTGATGCTCCTAAAAATCTGAGAAAATTACAGTAGCATAATACTACCCTAAACAGACTACCATAAAATTTTCATAGCATTTGGATAAGTAAACTATCCTACACAAAAAATGACAAGCTATAGCATAAAAATGAGCATGAAATTACTTTGTACTATGAAAAGTGTCAAACAACAGAATTAGTATTTTCCTAGGTTCTTAATAGCATATAATGACTGTACAAAAATTATCAGATGCATGTTTTATGCAACTTTGGCTTTTTAGCAAAAATAACAAAAATCAGCCATTAAAGGGACTTGAACTACACCTCAAAATTTTCCCACAGCATATGCATGAAACCTATTTTTCTTAGGAAGTACATGACATAAGAAGATGAACAAACTTGAAATCATATTTTTCTGAAGCCTATATATTTTTATACACATTTTTCAAGTTATCAACAATTTACATGATTAAATAAAATCCTATAGAAAAGTATCTCAAAAATGACATGCAATAATTTTCCCAAGTAGATCTGGTGATAAGGAACCTAGCAAAATTTGTTTCAACAAATTTGGAGCAAGTTTGA